TGTGGTAGTTTGTATCTGTAATCCAGAACATGGGAGGCTGAGGCAGAATGATTGTACCAATATGAGACTACTTTGGGCTATATCGATTTCTAGGCCAGGCCTGAACTAGAGTAAAACTTGATTTCTGGGGAGGGAGGGAGGGAGAGAGAGAGGGAGGGAGGGAAGGAAGGAGGGAGGGAGGGAGGGAGGAAAGGAGGGAGGGAGGGAGGGAGGGAGGAAAGGAGGGAGGGATAAAGAGGAGGAGGGAGGAAAGAAGGGAGAGAGAAGGGACAAAAGACATGAAGCAATGTCTTACTGAGGGTGACATTCAAAAGACAAGTAAGTACCTAACAAGGTGTTCGGTGCCGTCAACCATTAGGAAAATGCTAATTATAACCACGTTGAAATGACAAAGTGGCCAAAATGAAAAATACCGGAACTCATAAATTGCCAAATAGGAGTGAGAACTGTGTGGCCACACTGGACAGTAGTTAAGCGGTTCCATATCAAACTGGGTATGAGCTTGCCAAGTGACTCAGTAGTTGCACCAGGTTGCATTGTTCCAAACAAATGAAAACTTACTGTCATGCCAAAACTTGTATATGAGTGCTCATTGCAGTGGCCCAAGCTGTAGACGGCTGAAAGGTTCGGCATTAGACGAAGGTAACTCTAGGACTGGGACTGCAACTCGGTGGTAGAGCCGTGCTTGGCCCGTGCAAGCTTTGGATTTGGTCTCCCAGAGCACTTGTTTCAGTGAAGTTGTATTCACCTCTGCTGCGGAATGCTACTCAGAAATAGGGGGCAAAGCTGAGAAAACCTGGGTGAATCTCAGGTTTTGTGCCAAGTAAAAAACAAGGCAAGGAAGAAAGCCATCACTTGTGTACGTAGTGTGTGCGGTCGTTTCCGTGGCGGTCTCAGAAAGACAACTATAGTGAGGCTTAATGACTTCCAAACTGGAGCCCCCTGGACAGAGACCGGAGCGGCTATGAAGAGAATGGCTGACAGAGATGCCAGGTGCTAGAACTGTCCTTATCTCCTTGAGACCCCACCCCCACCCCCAGCAATTCTCATTCTCACGGGAAGCCTCAGCGGGAGCATCTCTACAGAATGTTTCCTTGAGTTCCCAGTGCCTGGGTGGGATGCAGAGACAGGGGAGCATCAGGGGCAGGATTCTTCACCTCATTGACAACTGTCTCTGTGACCATCAACGTCCCCTTTGCCATTTGGCAGCTGTGCAGACATTGTGCGTTAGTCCCTAACCTAAGTAAGCACTCTTGTGGAATCACTTTGCATTCCGTGTTTCCCCCCCATGCCACCCGACCCGGGGTCCTGTGTGTCGTGGTCCCGCCACCTTCCCGGCATCGTACGCCCCAGGCGCCCTCCTTCCTGCACCACTGAACCGCACTTGGGTCAAGGAACCTAACCTCTCTGGAAGGTGTTTCCATAGGAAGTAAACCAGCCCTGGAGATTTTCAAAGCTAGGAGACTCTTTCCTGTTCTTTTGACACTGTGTAGTGCCCACAAGGCTGAGGGCAAGAGGATCTGGCTGTTTTAATTCTTTAACCCATTTTACCTTCGGTAAAAGCTCTTGCTGTTTGCTTACTTTCTTACTATTTCCTGTTTCCCTCCATTTTGTATCTAAAAGTAAAGTAGGGTAGGAAATTTTGGGAAACTCTGAGCAAGAACCCTGACCGCCTTCATGAACTCATGTTTGCATGCAGTTATTTTAATGCACAAATACGCGGTAGCCCTGTTTGTACAATACTTACTGTAAGAGATGCCCTATGGGTCCATGCTATTTCTGTGAACACCTATAATTAGAATATTTTTTCCAAGAGCTAAGAATTAAAGTGCTCCAAAGAATTGCTAACTTCTCTCACATTACTTATTTCATTGTTCCAATCATGGTAACTGTTAGGGATATTTCCTAACACAAAATAACCCCAATCAAGCCAAATCAGACCAGATTAAAAGATATCCAGGTTTAAATAGACACATGTGCCCAGAGTGCCTCAGGAACACAGGAAGTCTCCAACCCTACCACCAGAGCCGAAAAGGGAAAACCGCGTGTCCCTTGACCCTCCTAGGGGAGGGGTCAAGGTTTGAGGGGCACAGAGAAAGGGCCTCCAAAGATGGAGGCCAGAGGCTGTGATTACAGTAACTTTAAGTCTGATAATATTTTTCATTAAAAAATTACATTATCATGGCTTATCTTGCAAGCGGAGTCAATAATAAAGGATTATGGGCTGATGGTTTATTAGAAACCTGATTCTGGGGAGGTGGAGAGAAGGACAGAGGCCATGGTCAGGGGACACTGGAGAGACGGTACAAGAGGGAATTAGATCAACCACAGCCGTGGATAATGAGTGCTCTTCTCCCCTGGAGCCTTGTGAGGAGCCTGAAAAAATGTGTCAGATGCAGTGCCTGAAGAAAGGCGAGCCACAGAAGGAAGACAGAGGCCACAGAGGCCAGCTCCCTGTCGGTCTGTGGTGCCCCTTGGGCTGTTTGTGTCTGAGTGCTGGACAGACACAGCAATCTAACGGAAGTCTGTGACAAGAATCTCTGCCCAGAGACTAGAAACACGACCCATAGGGCTTAAAGTGAGGCTAGTGGTGTGGCCACAAAGTGCCAACGGAGAGTTTCTGCAACTTCCTCAAGTAATAAGGAAGTGCTCCAGGCATAGAAAAACCACATTGCCTCTTACTGGGTCAAATTTTTAGATCTGTAATTTGCCCAGTGACAAATCTTAAGTTTTAAAAATAAAAACAAATTTTAATAGTTGGAATAACAGCCCAAGGGTGTTACCTTAAACTGCAAGATATGTCCTAAGAGAATACCAAATTAAAATATGAAAAAATTATAAATAAGACACATTCATACTTAATTCATTTCTACATCTGTGTTTGGATAAATTTATGTGGCATAAAGTCATTTCATACAGGATTTTATTTTTAAAAAAATAAGTGGATAGAGTAGGCACATCCTAATCTCTAATTCAGATTATCTTTATATACTTAAAATAACCAGTTATGAAAGCATGATTAATGCTCAAGTTATATACTTTAGATATTAATTAAATAACTAGTGGGTTTTATCCCTTAGATAATGAATAGATTAAATAACCAGTTAAAGATAAGCAGGTTTTTGAGCATTTGTGTCTCAAGCACTGTTTTGAGATAAACAAATTCATCTAAACCTCAATATCTCTTAATCTTACTGTCTCTCATCTCAAAGATGATGTAGCTGAGTCTGAATAACATGCCGAGGCCATGTTGCTGGTAAGAGTCCTTGCAAAGTGGTCTGGGATCTCAGTCTGTTATGCGCATGTCTTAAAAGTATAAGGACCTGAATTGGATCCCCAGACCCATGTAAAAATGCTAATCATAGAGGGCTTTTATAATCTCAGCATCCTGGGAGTGGATACAAATGGGTCCTGGATTCATTGGCCAGCTAACCTAACCTTGCTTAGCTTCAGGTCCATGAGACTCTGTTTCAAAGGAGGTAGATAGCCTTTCCTGATGATAATACCCAAAGTTGTCCTTGAGTTTTACAAACACACACACACACACACACACACACACAAATAATCCAGAAACTAGTGCCACATAGTCAATATCTTCATTTTTACAGAATTTTACAGAAAGTTAGAACACATTATTTTGGTGGTCAAATGGTCCAAATCACCTGGAATCACTGTTTGTAGCAACCTGTGAGAATATTGCTCTAAAGAAGTCAGTCTCTCTGACTGGTAAATTCACCAGTTCTGTAGTTACTATGTATAGTCATCCAATGGGAGAGTAAAAACATTGGAATAAAGTCGTGGCGGGAAGGAAGGGGACAGTAGCCAGTCTTTTGAAACACAAAGCAGGAAGACAGAACAGAATGATGTGATTGTCATTCTGGTGGCTTGAAGATTTGAACTACAAAAACAAACAAAAAAAAGTCATTAACTGATTAGTAACTGGCCAAATTTGCTGTATACTAGCTTACATCTATGGATGCAAACAACTTTTCAAAGACCAGCGTGCTTCCATATGAAGAGCGTTGCTCAGCCCCAGATAGTTTCCCACATGCGGCCTGCTTATTCCCGCTGAGGGCATCTGCAAGTGGTCTGAAGAAATCAGTTGTGATGGCACAGTAAAGTCCTGTATTTCCCCTCTCTCTCTCTCTCTCTTTCTCTCTCTCTCTCTCTCTCTCTCTCTCTCTTCCTGTCGAGTGCAAAGATCTACATTTTCTGCGTGTTTTGCAATTGCACAACTTCAGACAAACCCAGCTAATGTAACAGTACTTTTGTCATGAGCCAGACAGAAAGGGAAATTTTCCAAAGTTCCATTTAAAAAAAAAAAAAATGACGCAACCTTTATATATGTTTCATGATTGATGTGAAAGCTACGGTGAGTGATCACCGGCTTTATTTGCTGCACATCAGACTCAACTGAGTTTTGCTGTGACCCCACTTGAATAAATGAAGCATTGTCTTTAGGCAGCATCCTCTCTACGGACTTCTCTCTCCTTTGCTTATCTCCTTAATGATCCAGTCTCCTCCTCTTTCCGCACACTGCCTGGAACACAGCGAGAACCTTGCTCCTTCTGACCCTCACGTTCTACCTGCTCATGCTTAACAAATATTTGCCGACTGTCCAGCCCTTGGAAGACAGAGCATTTCTCACCATAGAAAATAAATCATTGAAAATCAGAGCCACCCACCACCCGCAAAAAAAAAAATAGCCTCTAGATTAGCTAAAAGTTTCAATAAAAATTGAAAAAAATTTTGAGGAAAGTTGCCCTGAAAAAAGACATACTATGCTCTCAAAGATTTTCGAGGAACCGAGATTATTGTGTGAATTGTAGAAATATCAGCACTGAACGCTGATTTTGCTGGCTTCCCAACAAGATGTTCAGCTGTTTTTTTAAAATATTGCACATTTTTCTGTTAATGTCTTGAGGTGTCCCCGTTACAAGCTAATGATCTGGAGGTCCTTTGTATTTCTAAGCCTCTAATTCCCTTTGCTTGTTTTTCAGTAATGGAGACAATGGGTGCAGACGCACTCCCTCTGACCGTGAATTCCTCAGAAAAGCGAGACGTTGTCTGCATTTTTGGAACAGGCGATTTTGGGAAGTCCTTGGGATTTAAAATGCTTCAGTGTGGTTACGCTGTTGTTTTTGGAAGCCGAAACCCCCAGGTGTCCAGCCTTCTGCCCAGAGGAGCAGAGGTCTTGAGCTACTCCGAGGGAGCATCAAAGTCTGACATCATAATCCTGGCCGTGCACAGAGAGCATTACAACTGCCTCGCAGAACTGGCTGACCACCTCAATGGAAAAATATTGGTCGATGTCAGCAACAACCGTAAGATCAATCAGTATCCAGAATCGAATGCTGAGTACCTAGCTCAGTTGGTGCCAGGAGCCCATGTGGTCAAGGCGTTTAATACCATCTCAGCCTGGGCTCTCCAGTCAGGAACGCTAGATGCAAGTCGGCAGGTAAGGCTAAATGAACTCACCTGAATAAAACTCCAAAATCCCCAGTAAATATTTCATTTTCTAATATGTGCTAAGGACAACTTTTGTGGGTTTTATTGAGAAGTGTCTTCTATTGCGGTTCATGTGCACCTCAACTTTTATTAATAGCTTGATGGAACCAAATGAAGTCCGAATCTGGGGTCCTCCTGCCCATACTAAAAGCTAACAGCTGGCTGACTCTTCTTCCCACTTGTGTGAGACTGGCTGCCTTTATGCCGCTGAGATTAGCCGCCGTCATAAATGATGGAGCACCCACACGCGGAAGAAAGATGAGACCCCTCATGCTCCGGTGAACTGATCTTACAGCAGCGCCGTGTGCCTAAAATCACCTTCAATAAAAAGCATGGCCTTTCACCGCCCAGCACACACATGCAGCTCGAACCAACATCTTGCTAGATGTGTTGATTCCAATATCTCTGTTCTGAGAGTATTAGTATACTATTTTTCTATATGGTACTCATATAAAGTTTAATTACAGTTATTAAATAAAAATAAGTATGGAATTAATTATTTTAACTCAGGTGTTTGTCTGTGGGGATGAGAGCAAAGCCAAGCAGAGAGTGATGGACATCGCCCGCACCCTTGGACTCACTCCGTTGGATCAAGGTTCTCTTGTGGCAGCCAAGGAAATTGAGAACTACCCTCTGAAACTATTCCCAATGTGGAGGCTTCCTTTCTACATGGCGTCTGTGCTGTGTGTTTTCTTCTTCGTGTACTGTGCTATACGAGAAGTCATATACCCCTACGTGAATGGGAAGACAGACACTACGTTTCGCCTGGCTGTGTCCATCCCGAACCGGGTGTTTCCCGTAACGGCGCTTACCCTGCTCGCTTTGGTGTACCTCCCTGGTGTTCTCGCGGCCATTCTGCAGCTCTACCGAGGCACAAAGTACCGCCGATTCCCAAACTGGCTTGATCATTGGATGCTTTGCCGAAAGCAGTTGGGCTTGGTAGCACTGGGCTTTGCCTTCCTTCACGCCGTCTACACACTTGTGATTCCTATTCGATACTACGTACGCTGGAGACTGAGAAACGCAACCATTACTCAGGTAAGTTTCCTCTCCTCTGTATTTCTCTACTCCTTAAAGCAAAGTGCAGTCTTGCTGTACCACAACCCACTTCACAACTGCAGAGTATGGCTCCCCCGAAGTTTGTTCTTTATCTTTAGGGTTTTAGGGGGTTATTTGTTTGTTTTGTTTGTGACAGTTTATAAGTCAGGGCTGGTTGGCCTCAAACTCATGGTTTTCCTGCCTCCGTCTGGCGAGTGCTGGAATTAGAGGCATGAATTATAACATCCACCCAACATCTTCATTTTTTTTTTAAGTATCAAAAATCAGAACCACTATCCCTGGGCTTGCACATGAATCCACTTGTGATCACATAGAACTACTGAGGATAAAACTTAGATTCCAGACTCACTTGGCTCTAGATCTGTAATCCTGGGCTCACTGAGACACTGACCAATTGATAGGTTTGGGACTCAAGAGTCAATAAGCACAAACTCTTAGGTTTCAAGCTTCTGGTTTTAGGTAGATTTCTTTTTGAAGTCTAAATCACTGTCTACTAGGTATGGGGTCTGCCCAGGCATGTACCACAGAAGCACAAACAATCTCATGAAAGGGTGTTTAGAAATCCATTCATGCTTGACTTGTAAGAGGTTGTCCTTAATTAGCCAGAAACCTAAACAATTCTGAAAAAAATTTCAAATACTATCGTATGAATACTCAAAGATAAAACAGCTCTAGTCTTTCGGCATTTACAGCAGAAATGCAATAGCGTCTGCTCTGGTTTTGAAATGAGCAGTCTTGGTATATCTCGTTCAATCTCAAAGACTATTAGTCAGTAACTCACCAACACTGTGTCCACGAGCATGTCCTCACACATTCCCTAACAAACGCATGCAAGCTTCTTGAGTAAGGATCACACTACACAGCCTGATTCCTCTCACACTGTGATGTGAAAGATGTAATGCTGCATTTTGACACAATCATTATGAAAGACCCAAACTTTCTGTATGTGTGTGTGTATAACAGAGATAGAGAGACAGACACAGAGAGAGAGAGAGAGAGAGAGAGAGAGAGAGAGAGAGACTAAACAGAATATAAAAACCAAAATTTGATGTGATTGTTTGAGAACACTGTGCTTTGTTTGAGAAACAGAAAGCCATGTGCTGAAGATGACTAACATATATACTGGCTTCGTTTTAAGATCTACAGGGCAAATTAAAACTCCCTATGTGACTCCTAGCAGCAAGAATTGTAACAAAATCTCAGAAGAACCAATTACCTTTTCTGCTCAAAACATTCAAGTGTATCTTTCTAAAACTGCTCCTAAGCAATCAATAATGAACGATACACAATTTGCTTTGGACAAGTAACGTGGAGAGGTGTGGTTCATCACCCCTGAAAGAATGAGGTGCAGAGAGAATCCATGTTAACTGTTTGTAACCTTTCTTAGGCCCTGGCTAATAAAGACAGCCCGTTTAGTACCTCTGCTGCCTGGCTTAGTGATTCCTACTTGGCCCTGGGAATCCTGGGATTTTTTCTGTTTCTTCTCTTGGGGATCACTTCCTTGCCATCAGTGAGCAACATGGTCAACTGGAGAGAGTTCAGGTTTGTTCAGGTAAGTGCTTCCAATTTCAGTGTCTTAGTATTGCAAAATGAGCATAGCTTTTTGCTAGTAGTGTTGCAAAGTGTTACCCTGCCTGATGTTTCACTTGGCTCCCTTGCTTCCCAGTCAGCTCATTAACTGTCAGCTGCAGTGAATAAATTGAGACCCTGACAGGCACACTCCAGAAGGGTTTAATGTTCTGCTCAGGACATCTTGCCAAGATTCCTCACTGCCCCCAGAGTAGCCACTGCGAGTATAGAGTGAGAAAAACTCAAAAGGCTATTAACTAACTGCGGAGGCACCAGGCGGAAGGTGGGAAAGAACCCAAAGACAAATGTGCACCTTCTGCATTCAACTGTGCAATCAGGACATACTGATAAGAAAGGGTAGATTTACCATCATGCTTAAACTTCCATGATATTTGATAAGTATCATCGCCCTAGACTTATTCCTGGTCGGTATGAGAGAAATTTATTTTTTTCTACATACCCACCACCAGACAACCTCATTAAAGGCAGTAACTATCCTGGAGACCAGTGATCCTCACAGTGCCTGTCTCACCCAAAGGGGCCACAGAAGCATCACTAGGGAACTCGTTGGGCCACGCCCCAGGCACCACCCACGCTGAGCAACCAGAAGCTCCAAAGGTGGAACCCAGCTGTTGGCTTGAAAAGGCCCTCCAGATAACTCCCACACATGCTCACCATGCGCCAGGATAATAAAAGCAAACCATTAGGAAGTGAACTTAGATTTGGTTATCAAATCCTGCAGTTTTTCCTAGAGGCCAAACGAGGACAAATTCCAAGAATTCAGACAGAAAAGAAAAACTAAGAATTCCAGAACCACAATTTAGCATTCTTCTTCCTGGGAGAGAAATCGGCCGGCAGCTGGTTTTGACAGTAACAGAGAAGAACATAGAACTTGTGGAAGCCATTTGTTTTAATCTCCAGATAAGATGATCAATAAAGAAATTCTCCTCTGTTGATCAAAACAGCGGATTATGTCTCCTAATCTGAAAGAGTTTATTCCTAGGGCCTTTTTTTAGTCAAGCCAGGAGAAGATAAAACTAGCATGTCATCAACAAACAAGTCTTTTTATATTTTTGATGAAATGTTTATCATCCTAAAAAATGTTATAGTTCTTTTCTAGACCTAGCAGTGTCCAAAGTATTATAATAGTATCTATCATGTGTTTGTGGTCATTGCCGAGTAGACTTCATTGCGTGCAACACTTCCCTTTACGATGTGGATGACTTAACACCCATGTTTTTGTTGTTGTTTATAGTCCAAACTGGGTTATCTGACCCTGGTCCTGTGCACAGCCCACACTTTGGTGTATGGTGGGAAGAGATTCCTCAGCCCCGGGATTCTAAGGTGGAGCCTTCCTTCAGCCTATATTTTAGCCCTCATCATCCCATGCACGGTCCTGGTGATGAAGTTCATCCTCATACTGCCGTGCATAGACAAGACCCTCACGCACATCCGCCAAGGCTGGGAAAGGAACTCACAACCCTCGAAATCAGCGCTGAACGGAAAACCAGATATTTAGAAGAAAGTTGAATTTGTGGAAATTTCTGAACTATTACAGTGAATGTTTAGAGAATAAGTGCCCAATTAAGAAAGCATTCTCTCTTGTCATGGTCGCAGGTGTATCCTCACTAAAGGAAGTGTTGCCTGACTTTGAAAGACTGACATAGGAAGCAAGCCCCCACTGCCTCTTCTCATGTAATGACTCACCGCAGGCCTCCCTCACTTCCCTTCCCAGGAACCCTGGGGCGACCACTGGGCGACCATAGTTTCACACTATGAAACGTTGTAGTTATGGGCAACATACATGATGTAATGTTTTGCAAAATGCTGGAAGATTGTGTGCAACTTCCTTCTCTAATTCAAGGGCTGAGGTAAGAGAGAAAAAAAAGAAACACTGGCCAGTCATCCTAGAGGTGTTGCTTGGCTCACCTAAAGAAGAGGCCGGGAAGAAGGAGAGGCAAGGAGGGTTTCCTTGTTTGTTGTGAGGGTGGTGATCATAAGTATTGTCATACTGATCTGGGGTATTTTTGGTTTGGGTGTAGTGCTGAGGATCAAACCTAGGGTCTTATGCATACAAAGCAAATGTAATGTTACTGAGTTACACCCCAGCCCTGCCATAGTGAATATGTAGCCATATGTAATCCTTAATTTTGTTTTTAACAATATGGATATTTACTATGGGGAAATATTTTATAACTCAACAAAAATATCTCAATTTTTTTAAAGTACCCATTCCTTGGATGTATGGAAATCTATGCAATTGTCACAACACTCCTCGTCTGAAAGAAATGGGTTGAGGAAAGTCTGGGTAACTATAGAGAGACCCATTGGATTTTTCAATGTACAGTAAGCAAGGGAAGGGCTGATAATGGCTTTGTGCAAACTGTCAGATAAGCCAGATTTTTAGCTAGTAAGCTAAACAAATACTATGACTTTTCACTGTGCCGTTTGTTATTATTTAGAGATTGCGGTATGCTTTCTGTATTATATCATCTAAATATAGCTCAATATTAAGCACCTGTGAAATTAATTTCCAGTATAAAGATATAGCTCCCCAAACCCGTCTTTGTTACAATTTTAAGGGGTGAAGTCTTAAAGAAATGATCTGAAACTGTTGGTGTGCCAAAAGCATAGCTGAGAAAATTGTGGAACACTAGGAGGAGCCGCGGCGGATGGGATGTAGCCAGCTCTGGCTTCCAGTGTGGATAGTGCCTTTCCCAAGGTGACCTTTAGCAGGCTTAGCATCCTAGCTCTAGCCTGGAGCTAAAAGGAGATTTTTGCACAGTCTTCCCACATGTCACTGAAATAACTGAAAGGCATTGGGTTTGACATTTTTCCGCCTAATCTACAAAGGCTGTTTATTTTTCATTTTGTTGGCTTTTATTATCACATATCATACATGATGTCATATACTGCTCACAATCCAGGGTTTTTTTATATAAAGCTTATATTATATAAAAACGGGCATTTCTTTTACTATTGCTCTGATAGAACATGTAGGCTATATCCAGTTTTTGCTAAAATGACAATTGAGGTAATGTCTTTGTACTAACGATATATTTCTATGTTTTCAATTATTTCCTTAGAATATTTTCTAAATGTTAATAGCATAACATTAAAGAATATTTGATAAAATTTGCTGTTTTGTCGGTTTCTAATGTGACTCTCTCTGTCCTATTGGCACACTATTACAGAGCCAAGATTTTACTTCAATTTGTGTTTTCTTCTAAACAGTTAAAGATTTGAAGGATGGGTTCCTGTAAATTACCTTTGATGAGCCCATGCAAGCGTGCCAAGAACTGGAGAACTCTGGACAGAGCCAGGGTATGGGGGACAGACTGTGGAGCATCCTTGTAGATGGGAAGAAACACAGCCAATCCCCCGCGGTGCACAGAACAGCCATTTGTGCCTGGGCTCATCATAACACTGACGGAAACAAAAGCACCATCATTGGTCTAGGGAGGCATTTGGAGTCAACCACGCTCCCATTTCAGTAAGGGCTGTAAAATAACAAAATAACATAGAAAACGCCACACCTAAGCAAAGTACACGTAGTGAAAATGTCCTGAATTCTCTGTGCTCTATTGGAGATGATCTATCTCGGGACTTAGTACGTGCAGTCTTTGAGTCTGAAATCAGAGAGCCCCAGGGCTTTGGCTCGATAGTTGCCTGAGTTTAGGGCATGACCACAAAGGTTCTGTGGGCCACCAGGAAGAAGCCACTGCTCCTCTCTCTAGCCCTCCCTCCTTCCCAGCCATCCCCTACGGCTCAAAAGGAGCAAAGCTGGCCTTGCCAACAGGTGGGAAGAATGAACGTAGGTCAGATGGCAATGTGTATTTTGAGTGAGCTGTATTTCTTTTTTCTTTATTTTTATTTTATTTAGATTTAGATTTTAGTGTTGTTTTGATTTTATTGTAACTGTGCTCTGGTTCTTCCCTCTTGTTTTCCTTTAATTTTGTTTATTCTATGTGTCTTTTACATCATGTATCTTGACCCCATTCATTTCCCACCCCTTCACATCCACCCTCTGCACTAACCTCCCCCCACAAAATAAAACAAAATTTATGAGAAAACAAAGAAAAACAAAGGGGGAAAATTAAAATCTTGTCATGGAAGCTGCAGTGTGACCCAGTGAGTCGCGCGTTGAATCCCTTTGTTCATTCATCTTTACTAGCAAGTGTTCATTGCAAAAAAAAAAAAAAAAACATTGGTCTGATTCGAGGCCTCTGGTTTCTACTGCACCATTAATGCTGGGCCCTCACTGGGACTCCGCTTGGGTAGCCTGTTGTTGCCCTGGTTGTGGAAATCCTACAGCTTTGGGTTGGTGGATCAGGTCCCTTCACATGCTCACCTTACGCTGAGATGTGCAGTGACTACACCTGTAGTCTCAGCACTTGACAAGTAGAGGCAGGAGGATCAGGAACTCAGTCAGTCGGGGAGAACGTGGGTAGAACCCTTGGAGGGAGCAAAGGGGAAGTCTTGTCTTTTAGAGCGTGTAGGATGGAGATACACGAAATTCTTCGTTATCACGCTAGAGTGAAGGACAGATGTGAGAACACAGCCACGCAATCTCCCCTCGGAAAAGACAAAGTCCATCCGGGTCACAGCACTTCCTCACTCTTCATAAAGAGAAGAGGGCGAGAGTTCAAGGTCATCTTAGCCTACATGTCACCTTGTCTAAAAAACAAAAGCCAAAGTAAATAAATAAAAGAAGAAAAATTACACCAAGATGCTTTTCTGCTGCAATGTCCCCCGTATTCCAGGAGAGAAAAAAATTATTCAAATTCATTGACACTTATTTTATATGCTTTTATATGCTTATTTTATGTCATTCAGAGAAACGATGATTGGCTTAGATATGTAATCATTAGACATTAAAAAATATTTTTTTAGTTTTATTTAATTCTGCTTTTGACTTGTTAGCATCCCAATGAATATAACTGAAAGATTTTGAACCACGGTACTTACAACTTCTGGGACTAAAAATCCTTGCCTTCTAGGAGAGGCAGGCATAGGTTAGAAGCCGATGTGTGAATCTGCCGCTCCGCGCAGCTCATTTCAGCATCCCATAGGAGAGCCACTGTAACCCAGGGACACTGACCGGCTAGCTCAAAGGAAGATTATTTTATCCTTGCCTGGACTTCTGTGAGAATTAGAAAAAGATGTTTCCCTCTCCAGGCAGATGCCGCCAGACCAGAGCTAATGACTTGACAAGCGGACTTCCCGTTGGATTCAGACTGCATGACCCCGCATTAAATGCCTTGAACAGTGGACAACCGGGGCTTTCCGAACTGACAGGGAAAGGGTTGGGAGCCTGCTAGAAACAATTGCGGCAGCCCCAAGCTGAAACCCATTTATTTCCATTAGAACTTTATCACGAGCTCTTACTACGTCTACTGCTCAGAAAATTACAAAAGTGATAGCGATCCACATGTGTGGCACCTTGAACCTCTTGAGCTTAAAAGATTCTGGACATCATCTGAAAGCCAGAGAGGGTGGAGGTCAAGGTGCTGCATTCAAGGTCATGGTTTTTAATCTCTTGGCACAGTCATCGTCCCCTGATCAGTACACACACATACCAAGAGTGCCCACATAAATCCTTATAGGATCCTATTCTAATTTCCAATAACGAAGATTACATTCTAGGAAAAAAGCCTCCATACTTCTAAGGATGTATTTGGTAGAATTTAGAAAAAAAAAGAATAAGTTACTATCCTTTTCCTTGCCTCTCCTCCAGCTCAAATGGAGATTCTAAGCTATCAGACAAGACCTGAATAAGCCAGGAGGGGGCTCCTTGGGGAAATACCTAGGGGGTTAGACAGAAAGAGAGTGTGGAGAAGCAGGAAGGCAGCCAAGACTGAAACATCCGGTACTACTTTCTGCTCCAAGGGAACCTTGCAAGCTGTGTGATCTTTTTCTCCTAACATTGCAAGCAAATCCTGTATTTTGGCATGTATTTTCTTATTGAGTCCATATAACAATTTCATGAAATTGATCGCGGATGCAGTCACACAGCTTGCGAGGGGCAGAGCTCCTTCACAAACCAGGACCCAGGGAAGTCTCTCTCAACACTGCGCTGACCTCCCAAATCTTCTCGAAAATTCACAAGTTAGGCTGCAGACCCTAGCAACTATGTTCTGAAATGTCGTGGGGTGAGGTTTTATCTTACTACAGTTTTACTTATTCATTTGGGGGAGCGCACACCTGACAGGTAGGGTGGAGGTCAGAGGACAACTTGTAAGACTTATTCTTCTCCTTCTGTCGTGTGTGCCTAGAGGATTGAACTCACGTCCTTGGGCTTGGTGGCAAGCGCTTTATCTACTGAGCCATGTCCCAGGCCCCTGAAATGTTTTCTAAGATCTGAAGCTTACTGAGATTTTAGATGTTCCTAACTGTGTCATCTCTAAGCTTTCTTGTGTGACTTTCAAGACATCCTACCAGGTTTTCCCGTAGCATTTTCTAGTGATGCAGCCACCATCTTGGTCCCTCTCCAACTCCATCTGTAGGTTTCCAGAACTCCACAGGGGGCTTGAAGAAGCAGGAGATGGAGGAGCCACTGAGGACCAGGCTCCTTTCTCCTGGGGTCTGAAGGCAGATGCTTCCCCACCCCTACCACTTCAACCCCTCATATCCACCTTGTGCTGAATGATCCTATTTGTTCCTGAGACTTAGAGACCTATGCAGAAAATTAGATAACGCTTCTCATTTATTATTTTAATACTTGATAAGGAAATTTAGTGTTAATAGTGGGAGAGGGAGTGACTCCCTAGAACCTATGAAGTTCAGCCTCTTGGTTTGTTCAGACTAAGGAGTATTTACTGTGTCGAGGGTTTCAGAACATGAACCACCAGAACCACACTTTCCCCCGCTTTTGAGAGTACGATGAGGCTTTGAAAGAACGCGGCCAGTGCAGGGGCTTCCGTCACACAAATCTCTTCCACGCTGGTAAGACAGACAGTGAAAAAGTGCAAGACGCTGCCTGCGCCTGGTCGTTAAGGCAGAGCAGTAGACTCTGCCGGGTCCAAGGATCGTGTGGAGTTCATCAGCCCGCCGTGCAGACGTGAACCTCTGCAGAGTACTGAAGCGCCACCAGAAGGAAATGCTGCGCCCTCTCTGTGCCCCTTGGACCATTACTAGAAAACTCTCATTTGTAGCCAACCAAAGTTTTCCTATTTGTGCTTCTACCCATTTTTTCTCGGTGCCTCTGTTTAAGTTCAGGGAAAAGCAGTATATATTTCTTTGCCTTATTTTTCCCCAGATCTCACAGACTGATATATCTGTAAAAACAAAAACCTCCCACACTTAAATACTATGGCAACATCAAATGTCCATACCAAGTTCCACGCCGTTTCTGTCTTTACCACAGTAGCAATCACTGCACAAAGCTGCGCCATCTGCGAGAAGGTGCTTGCTCAGAGGGGGCCCAACCCGGCTCGCTTCTCCAGGACGTCTCTCCTGAGACACAGGCTTGGTGGAAATGGTTTATTCTGGAAGTGAAATCATCAAGTGTTGGGAAGATAATACAAAAGACAGAGCAGGGAAGGAATACTGTTTCAAGATGGTCACTCCGGGCAGCCGCTGGTGGAGCCCAGTACCGCCAGGAAACTCGGAGATGGAGTCAGTTTGTAACCCACAGCTACCTCCCCAGAGGAGAGAACAAAATGGTTTTTCGTCTACCAAATCCTGGCTCATCACTGAGCAAGAAAAGCTTTCAAAGCCTTAACTTTCCAGGACTCCCGAACTTCCCTCCGTACTCACGGTACAAGCCGTGGTCAGGAGAGACAGCCAAAGACAAGCTCTTCCAAGTTCCACTCTTGTATTCAAACTGTAGAGGCCAGCGGTTTCCACCAGGAAGCTGGTATTGGCCTAACACCCCAAATTTCATCTTCCAGTGAAGAACCGTGCTGAGGTGGGAATGAGATCCAAGGAGGGGCTAGTGTTCTGACTCTTTAGTGATACCTGAAGACAGAAATTGAGTATACCACGCTGCCCACCATACAGAGGATCAGAACTACAGAGGAGCGCACACTACGTGTTGAGGGTGGGGACGTTCGTCCTGATGCCCTGATCTTGGCTATGCAAACTTGGACACCCCGGTGGAGGAAAAACTGGACAACATACTTGGAAATATGAAATGC